ACCGTGGTGCTCCTCGCCTCTCAAGTACGTCTCCGTACTCCGTGAGCTACCGAACAAACCTACCGTCGATGAAAACCCATAGATATGAAGCTGGATAAGTGCGATGCTAACATTCAAAAGCATCAGTTTTTAAATCTCCCAGCATATTGATATTGTTTTGAAGTCATAACATGATATTCTTCAAGTAATTGTGCGAAAATTACGCTTTATTAATCGAAACTCTGTAAATTTGTATGAAAAGGAATAAAAGGTGTCTGAGTTTTACTGCCTCTAGTGTTCATTTATTTTGGAAACTGCAGTGATATGTACTTATTGGTACGTATTTCGCGTCTCGCTAAAAAGTGCCCCCAGGTACGTTTATGCCATGAGACCAGGTAGAAATATCCTCAATAAAATGTCTTGACCCACATAGGTCAATAAAATGTCAGTAAAATGATATTCAAATGCTTAGTTTAATGATCGAAGCTCTGCAGTTTTTATTGTAGGGGCCAAACATATAATGCAGTGCAATACAATGACGATTGAGAGATCATCCTCAAAAGCCTGTTGTGTCATATTTGATACTCACATTATAACACGATTTTTCTAAAAAAAAAAACAGTGTATGGATAATCAAGTAAACCTAAGTTGTTCATCTTGAAATATTACTAACAATATAAAAGTTATTCTTACTTTTACTTTATAAAAATCTGTAAAGATCTCATAGTAAACGATACATGAACCACGATTTTTTTTCTTTTTAGAATTATATTAAAAATATGTTTACTTGCTAAAAATATAAAATATCAACCAGATTGTCTACAACAGGTTTTTCACCAAAGTTTTGATCATGTTGATCATTTAAATGCCTTAGAAATTTGTGTATCAAATATCATACAGTAGGCTTTATATGGGGTTAAAAAAATAGTGGTATAAAAACTGGTTATGCATACAGATTTCCCAATTTGATTCAGTTCTGATTAATTTGGGTATATTTCTTTTACAATGTCTATTTTGATGGCATTATAGAAATAATTATTTCTGCTAATGCTGTAAGTTTTACGGTGCAGTGTTTCAGAATTATTCAAAACAGTATCTAATATTTCTGAACTATTCTTTAAAAGAACCAAGTCAAACGAGTCATATGTTTTGGGAATCGAGCTACACTAGTTGCATGTATGATTTTTGATTCCCTAAAAATTATTGTCTGAAAGAGTCGTTTGTTTATGTGCTGTAAAATGACAACAGCCATAGAGTTAATGATCGATCATGTGATCGTTAGAATCAAAATTGGTTTCTCAATGCTTCTGGAATTTTTTCATGGTCATATTATTTGCACTTGACATTGTTTTTTTTAACCTGATCCTATTGGAAACAGGCCTGTGACCCCTTTTTGGGTCGTGACCGACCCCTTGAATCCTACAGTCTAAGCTGTCATCATTGCTTGTTTGTGTATGTGGAAGTAAGACAGATCAAGTCTTGCTCACTGTCTGTCTCTCGACTCACAGAGCCATGATGTGACGTTTCCTGTCCTCTCCTTTAATTAAAAGTCTCTCCTTGCCTTTGACATCACAAAAGGAATCTTTAATAAACCTCTGCTCTGTCCTGAGACTCCAAAAGGCAGGGCGGCAGAGAATGTTCTTCTTTAAGAGGGTAACTAAAAGCATTTTGGGTGTAGAAAGCTACTAGAGTAAACAGAGCTTACAGAAGATTAGCTGCTGTTTGATGCTGGTGGAAGTGCGTCTGTGCCCTAGTTGCTCTGTTGAGTTTGTGTCTATCAAAGGAGCCACGGAGCCTCTTTTAGAGACACGTGTTCTAATTGCAGCAGAAGTGGGCTAGATCTTTCAGAGTGAACTCAGAAAGGAACAAGACTGAATAGGTCCTGCAGAGCACTTCTATGTGATCTTTTTAAACAAAAGAGCAAAATGAGCGCTCTAGTGGGATGAGGTCACATTAGTTATTTAATGTGATGTGTAGATATTTTATGTGTTGATTCTGTAACCCACCGACATTTAGAGTAAAAATAAAGGTTCTTGATTGCAGTGGCGGCTCGTGGGTTTTAAAATAGAGGAGGCACACTAATTGTATTGGTCTGGGATCCCTGCCGATTATTATTAGATTGGCATCTGTTTCTGTGAAAAACCTTTAACTTCCATGGAACCTTCAATTGCACAAAAGGTTCTTTATAGTAGAAAAGTTTTTTTTTAAGGGGTCATGAACAGCCTTTTTTTTTATTATTTTGTACTATTCCTTAAGGCAGGGGTTCTCAAACCTGTCCTGGAGGACCCCTAGCCCTGCACACCAATTCATGTCTTGCAGTCTCTACTAACGAGCTGATGAGTTGAATCAGGTGTGTTAGATAAGGGAGACATACAAAATGTGCAGGGCTGGGGGTCCTCCAGGACAGGTTTGAGAACCACTGCCTTAAGGTCCACTTATAATATTATGAAGATTTTTACATCAAAAAACATAATTTAGAAGTAATAGGCTATTTTTGTCTTGTTTGATACGATTTGATTTGTCTTTGCATGATACGATCACTTTAATGTTGTGTGCACTGCTGTAACAAATCCTATAGCTCCACATGAGTGCGTACATTTACATATTTTTATTTCCTTGAAGCTATTTTCCAAAGCAACTTACAGTGCATTCAAAGTATATATTTTGTCAGTATATGTGTTTCCCCCGAGCAGGCAGTGCAGTGAAGCTTCATGAACCATGTAGTTTACTGAAATAGACTAGCAGGATACAGAATTTCACTGTGTCTGCCCAAACGGCTGTAATGGATTCTGCATCTGCAACTTCTCTGCTTTTTCATTAATGTTGATGACATTTGCCTTTTCTTGGGAAATAGATAGCAAGGTTGTAACCTGTTGGTTTTTATCATGATAGATTACCATACACAGTTCCATTCAGAGCTCAAAATTCTTTACTGAACCTTACTATAATTTTAGGCCAGCGTATTGATGAGTTGAGCTATTCTGAGTTGAAATCAAAGTCATTCTGACTGACTTTACAAAAATTGTTTTTGTATCGAATTGAAAGCCAGTGAATTGAATCGATTCACTGTTGACTCAAATATTCACACCCCTAGTTGATCAGGATAAAGGCCTGAGGTGATCAATATTTAATGGGAAGAAAATCTCCTGCTTCTCACCTGCCAACTGGTGCTAAGTTGCGTAAGAGGAGTTAGGCATCATACGGTAAAGGGGGAATCTAATCTGCTGTGTGTGTATCCTCTGGCATCTCTTGCCCTCATGACTCAGTGTGTAAGGTGAATCGCTTCAGACACTTACAGCTAATTGATGTGTGGGTGACATCTCTGATGTGTCTGTCTGTGTGTGTGTGTGTGTGTGTGTGAGAGGCTGCTGTGTCATGGTCTCAGTGAAAGATGCTGCTACTGTACCAAGGTTGGGTAACATTCAGAATTGCTCTCTTTCAGTTCCTGAGTCTGAATGTAAATTTAGCTGACACCCACACAGGATGTTGAACCGGAATGGCAGGAAGAGGAATTTACTGAATTGCAATTAAAGAAACTGAATGTAGTCACAAAGATTTCATTAGTTCAACAGTTCTCTGCAAGTTATCCATAATTTGAACTATTTATGCATATTGATTTCCTACATATTTAGAATGAGGTGCAATTCTTTACTGTACTTTAATATATATATGTGTGTGTGTGTGTGTGTGTGTGTGTGTGTTTATGTATTTACGTATTCATAACTATAACCTATATATAAGACTATGGAATTTTCTAATATACTTATATAGGGCTGGGCGATATAGCTAAAAAATGTATCAACGATATAATGTTTCATATCATTCGGTATCGATAATTATTGACATTTTTTATAACCTTTTTAAAACAATGAGCAATATAATTTTTTTTTTTTTATTTAACCACTGTATTTTTCAATTAACCCAAGTTATTGAGACAAACAATAACTATTTTTTGTTTTAACAGTCAAACACACAATAAAAATGAAACAAATATCTAATTTATAATGTTTTATATGCAGATTAAATAGGTCTTGTCTCCCGAGGCCATAGGAGGGCGCAATGAGCAAAATAATGCAGCACATTTAAATTGTGAACGCATAAGTCTATAAAAAAACGTGCATTACGTCTACATTAACTATCATTAATGTAAGCATCATGTATTTATGCATTGCTTAATCCAAAGAGCCGAAGCGCCATTCACTCAGATTGCATTTAAAAACATATGAGACGCAGTGAAAAGAAATAAACCTCCACAAATTCGCGACGTGTTTTCTAGCAGTTTAAACAGTTTTAACTTAGCATGGCTACATCTCTTGTGTGACGTGAGTGCAGCAGTCATATTTGTCCGTCTAAAAAAATGCGCTGAATATGCGTTCTGTGTGAATGGCTTGGTTTCGGTTTTAACCTAATCAAGATCAAGATAAATTAGACTAATATTCATTTTTTAAATTCACAATCTCCTCATCACAGGCAGGTACAGCACTCATGTCCGTGTTTGTGTGTTTGTATGTGCTGTCTGCGTCACTCATAGCACGTGCCTATATCGAACATTTTTTATATCGTTATCGAAGGTGTACCGTCGATAAATATCGATACCGTTTTATCGCCCAGGCCTATACTTATAGCAAATAGATTCACTATTTATTTATTTATTTATTAGTGCCAATAATTCTGGATCTAATCATATACAAATATGAATGGACTATAGAATTTTCTATTAATATATATTCACTTCTAGCCATGTAGTAGAGGCTTTTATCCAAAGTTACCTAAACATGAGGAAATGCATTATTAAATATCTTTGAATTTCATTTCATTTTAATTCCACATCCTTATTTCTGCATTCTTTTTGCTCAAATTCAGGAATTGGATTGGAATTCAAAAGTGTTTTCTGTTCAGTTCTGAATGACACACAAGCCTGTACTGTGTTCCTCTTTCTGGCTGTCTTTCTTCTCATATGTGTCTTTCCTTCTCTTCTCTTCTTTTCTTTTTTCTCTGCTGCTGACACTAACGTCCCTCAGACTGGCACTATGAGGGTAAGACTGCTTTCTTTCCTCTACCACATCATGAGAGGCTTCTCACTTCTCTTTCTATGACTCTACTTATCCACCCAGTAAAATCATTTAACACTGCTGCATTCATCATCTAGATGTAATCTCAAGTGAATAAGATACTGTATGAATGATGTGTTGTGATGAAGGTGATGGCAGATCTGAGTCTGACTATTTCTCTCTTTCTGTTTCTGACACAGAGTGTAAGTTGTCACGGTCGGGTCCACCTGCCACTATCGTCACCATTGATGAGGAAAGTCCAAATGGTAAGTATCTCTGGCCTTGTCTCCTCATGATGAATCTGAAGCATGCTGCTTCCTGTGAGCTGTCTGCTCTGCTATTGATCGACGTTTGGCAGGGGGCTTGTTATAACGTTCATTTAATTTTCCATGGTGTAATTCAGGATTTCCCAGATGGGGTTCACAAAGCTCTTGGGGTTCATGGAGATTGAGATAGAAATGTCAGTGTCATATGCAATTAAATGAAAATGTACACTACCGTTCAAAAGTTTGGGGTTGGTAAGATTTTTTTTGAAAAATGTCTCTTACTCACCAAGGCTGCATTTATTTGACCAAAAATACAGTAAAAACTGTAATATTGTGAAATATTATTACAATTTAAAACAACTGTTTTCTATTTTAATATATTTTAAAATGTAATTTATTCCTGTGATGACAAAGCTGAATTTTCAGCAACATTATCGATCTTCAGTGTCACATGATCCATCAGAAGTAATTCTAATATGCTGATTTGCTGCTTAAGAAACATTTCTTATTATTATCAGAGTTGGTAACAGTTGTGCTGATGAAACATTTTTCTGAATTTTTTAGATGCATTTATTTGAAATTTTTGAATTTTATTTGATTTTTTTCTTACAATTTTGATCAATTTAATGCATCCTTGCTGAATAAACATATTGTTTAAAAAAAATTATAAATACATTTAAAAAAAAAATGAATGGTAGTATATATTTTTTGTGTGTAAAATCCAGGGGTGTGAAGTAACGAATTACAAATACTCACGTTTTTATCAGTAATTGTACTTTTTTGAGTAGTTTAAAAATTGTGTACTTCTACTTTTACTTGAGTACATTTTCATATAAGTTACATACAAATAATGAGTCGTAATGGTGCTTGCTGTCATTCCAGATGTGAATGATACCCAAAAACCTTCAGCATATAGAGGAGAGATGTGCTTGTGCTATTACTTTTCAAATGGATTTTCGCCTGAGAAATCATAAATCGTAAGAAAAAAAAAAGAACGTCCACAATCCCAAACCCTTCACTAGTGACTATCCTGAGCTGTGACGTCAAATGCAGCAGACAGGTAACATTATAAGTCCATTTCACACTTTTAAGAGCTTTCCAAAAAAGAAATGGGTACTGGTTAAACATATGCTATGAATTATTTGCAATTTAAATGTTGCTTGCAAAAAAATTTATTTTGTCACAATACACAGTTACTTTTGAATGGCCCTCAATAGAGAAAGATGTTTTTGAATGGTGAAGTTACAACATCTACCAGCAGTGCCTACCTATGCTAACTTGCTCAATTGATAAAAAGGTTAGTATAATTGATCTAATGTGACTTAAAAGTGAATTTTCAGATGTTCAATTCAGGCTCAAACTACCCTGGTGTCATGCTGCAAGCTCGACAGACAGTTACCTGTTGCTTTCTTAACTGAAAATGTGTGTGTGTGCTCTCGCCGGAGCCACAGATGGTGTTTTTGTGTTGGAGGCACGCTGGGGCCGTTTATCACATACAGTATCTGTGTGCAGGCGATGCTACACCGCGTCATGCATTTATAAAGGAGCCACTCGCCGCTGTAGTGCTCAACCATGCGTTTGACAACACTGTCTGTTTGTTGATGTGACAGGTGTTGGCTACTCCGTGCGAGTTTACTGTCTGTGTCCTCCTTCCATCGTTTTTTCCTCTTCATTTCCCTTCTCTTTCTCTCCCTCCCTCCCCTCTGCCCATTCTGTGGGTCATAGAGTTTGTTTAGCATCGGTGTGTTGACTCAGGAAAGTGCATCGAGGCAGAGGCCTGCTGGGAGATGTAGTTGAAGTAATAGGGAGCAGTTAAATGGATATTTTGCTCAGCCTGTTTATGTGTTTAAATAATTAGTTTGTTTTTAGTTTCTCGCTCTAGCAGACTATGATGAGGCAAAACAGCCAAAGGGACCCTCTGGGCCGCTTAAGCAAAACAGGGAACAAGTGTATCACTGTGTTGAGGCAGTGATTCAAAAAGCTAAAGAGACAGACACATTTACCTGCATATTATTCAGGTGATGGTAATTCTGTTTCAGTGAATATTTTATTGCAGGCCTCCTCCAGTTTGACTAATAAAAGATGTTTGCATCAGCTCAGATCTGGCAGTATTTTATTATGCACAGAGGCTCAACAGTAAGGATTCAGTGCAGATTTCTTCTTGTCCTGTTAATGTTTTCAACTGGTTCCAACACATTTTTTAATTAATTTAAAAATGGTATGTTTTATTGTTTTACTTTAAAATAACTTTTATGTTTATTATTTAATATTTATTATTATTTATTTAAACCAAAAGTCTGGGATCAGGAAGTTTTTTTTATGCAGTTACAGATACATTTAATACAGATTGATTAATTAATTAATACAGATAAATTTGATCTAAAGTAAGACATTTACATTGTATAAAAAATCTGTTTCATATAAATGCTGGGTTCCCCTTCAGGAACTCGAGCTGCGTCGAAGTCGCTTTGGGAACGCCCCTGCGTGACCGCGTTCTGAAGCACGTGTCAAATCAGTCCAATGGGGGCGTTCCCAAAGCGACTTCGACGCAGCGTCTCGTTCCCTCGGGGAACCATGGTTACATACGTAACCTAGAGACGTTTTTTTTACTTTTTATTTGTCAAAGAATCATGGATTCTAAAAGAATATTAAGCACAACAAATGTTTTCAACATAATAAGAATTTAATTTTGAAGACCAAATTAACATACCATTGGATGGTATGTTAATTTCAAATCCCGTGCCTACAGAGTTTCTCCCCTCAAAAAACATATAATCGAGGAACAAGTTGACCAGATGCTCCAAGACAACATCACTGAACCCTCCTTCCCGCCTTGGTCTTCACCTGTTCACCGAGCGTTACACCATCACAGGAATAAATTACATTTTAAAATATATTAAAGTAGGAAACAGTTTTCTAACATTGTAATCATTTTACACACACAGTATTTTTTCACAATATTATGTTTTTTAGCAATATTACTGATTTTACTGTATTTGTAATCAAATAAATATATAATATAAATAAATAATTAGGGTGGCCATATGTGCCATTTATACGGGACACGTCCTGGCCAGGATTTTTATATTGCCTAAAACATCCAAAGTAGTTTGACCAATAACATGCAGGTATTGTACATAATCGACCAATCGTGGTGCGTCGCGCGTGAGAATGATCAAAGCGATGCAAATACGTGCACATGTTTGTTCGTTCGTCTTGAAGCTGCGCACAGATCATTGTATGACACCAAAGTACCGCGAGAGCGATTCGAAAGCATAAGGAGCCATCTGCTCTGCTCTCTATAGCTCTTGTGAAATCGCCAAGGCCGATATATCAACCGATATTTGGCATTTTTCAAATATCGGCATCGGCCGATAAGTTTTTATGTTTGGCCGATGCGGTCGTGGCGGGAATTTTATTTTGATGGCGCGCCAGACTTTTATTTTGACGGCGCTGAGAACGGCAGCGCCTGAACACACAGTGCTCACATTCTCCCCATTCTCCCCCATCGTCGTTAACAGTTCTGTCCACGGACAGAAGTCTGTCTAATAATCAGATAGAACTGTTAGAACTGTTATTGACTGGTTTTGTTCTAGGCTTGATTGTGTTTATGGGGTGCAGTCTAACATGTGTTCATGTTTCGTTTTTTTTTTTAAACGCATTATTTTTCACATAATTTACCTTTATTCTTCACCGCTCTGTCCCTTCTCCT